TTAATTTTGTACTTATCGGCCTAATAATTTAAAGAATTATATATCAGAAAATCATTTCTTAAGCGGTACCCTCGTCAAATCAGTAGAAATGCTTTAAATTGAATGAATTCTTACCTTGTTTACTTTTTTTTCCATTTCTCTCCACTTCGTTAGTACCAAATTTCCGGTGGCGATGATACACAGTGTTACTTATTGTTTAAGGAATTTTCATTTTTCTCGTAATTTGATAGTTTTAAAAATTTATAAAGTCAAATTTCTTTTAAGTGAATGCCAATAATTTATTATATTTGTAGAAAGATCTGTACTGTTATGTTACATTTTATTTTTAATACAATGCTTAGATTTAGTATGTTTAATATTTTAATAATAAAAGTATTGCTTAAATATGTGTTGTGTATAAATTGTTATTCAACGCAAAATAATTATCTAAGGTATCTGGGACGATCTCATTTCATAAAGGATCTCTTTTGTTTACTTATTGTACCTCAAACTTATTAACCCAGTGTAGGTCTTTAAGTTGAGGTTTATTTACTAAAAGTTAATAGGGCATGACTAATTAGACACCTTAGAATCATGGGGGTCCAAAGTAGGATCAGGGAAAAAAACGGCCAGCAAAATACCATAATTTACAATTTCAATGAATTCAAATGCTTATGGTTAATTATCTCAAACCTGTCAGAAATAGAAAATTTTGGCTGCAATAGGAATTTATTTACAAAATAAGTGCATATCTCATTTACTTATAATGGCCGTTATTGTCTGTAAATTCATTTCTTTTAGTTTTGGCATTCGTCTATGGTTGAGAAAATCATGGGGGTTGGGGATTAATAGCTTAACTTACAATTTTTATCATGGTTCAACTTTATTCTAGTACGGCATTTGTTTTGCTTCTAGCCAACGCTCCATTGCATGAAAGTGCCACTCTAAAATTGTTGAATTTTGTTTCAGGTCGACCCACTTTACATCTCGTCATGAATATACACAACATATTTGCCACTGGACATTAAGGGAGAAATCAATTAATCATTTTCATTTAGTGATGTATAATCATTTGTCTTCAGTGGATAATTGTCTCAAACAGATTTCCAATTTTTTTATAGTGGGTTTCAGTAGATATGCAATCTTAAGTTTGTATTTACATGAATAGGTTTTAAGCCTGTAAAAGGGGATGCTACATATGAAAAATACGATAAATATTTTTTGTAAATTAAAATCAAAACAATCGATTCAGTTTTATCTGAAATAATTCTAAACATTCAGCTGAATCTTACTGGAACAATTAACAACTCAATAAAACAGTAACTTTGTTTAGAAATGATATAGAATTATTATAAACTATTATACACAACTACATGCCCAGATAAAAATTTGCTACATACATATGTATCTGATACTATTATGGAAAGGGAGATAAATATTGATGACTTTAAAGAATGTGATCGGAAGGTTACTATAGATGAATGCACTAATGCTATTAACACAATGAAGCTAAATCTAGACGGTTTGACTTTGGGATTTTATTAGACATTCTGGGAAAAATTAAAAACAAGTTAGTTAAAGTTCTTAAGGTAGATAGGGTGTCTTCCTCCATCTTGGATTTTGAAATACCAGGAAATAATCGGTCTAGACCTTTAATAAAATGTGCAAATTTTGAGAGTAGTGAGTAATTCATGTGTAAGAATTTTCATTTTAATATAGAAAATGACATGTTTTATGATATCTATGGTTGTGTTTTACAAAAAACAGAATACTTTTGTTTGATTCAATTTTTTCCAACTTTGCCACATAAGGGGAGGCAACTCAAATGTAAGGGCAGATAATTCAGATAAAGTTATTTTTACAATAGAATGTGTTAGGAATTTATCTATTTTATTATGTAGCAAGAAAACGGGCCCGGTGACCCCATTTTTTCTTTTTCTTATCTGAAAGCATAATATTAGAGCTATCTTCTCATATTTTATCTCAAAATTCTATGGTGTAGTTTTCGTTTTATGGCAGAAAATTGGGTTTTCCATGCATAATCTATACAAAATCTGTCAATTTTGCACAACCCGTAGCGTGAAAATAAGCCCCGTGACCCATTCTTTTTATTATTATTTTTAAATAAGCATGATATAAACTACATTTTGGCAAATTATTAAAAAATTCTATGGATTATAATTTAGACACCCCATCTACCTTAATAAAGGACAGAAGGGAAAAACTTTTATCATATACCCAAAGAACAGGTGTACTATCTTTATTATTTTAAAAGAATGACCCATATCTTAAGACAATTATCGTCCTATATCATTATTAAATGTAGATTTGAAAATACTCTCTCATGTTTTGGCACAGAGACTTAAAAACTGCTTCCTAAACTAATTAATGAAGAACAAACTGGATATATAAAAAATCATTTTATTGGATTCAATTTAAGGCAAATTCAAGATATAATCGACTATGCAGAATATACGGAATAGATGGGGCTATTAAATTTGTTGATTTTTACTAAAGCTTTTGATTCTTTGGAATGGAAATTCATGTTAAGCATTCTAAAACATTTTGGTTTTAATGAATCATTTATATCATGGGTGGAAACTTTATATAAGGGAATACAGACATGTGTAATAAGTAATGGATAGGTACCGGTATCCGAGATTTTTGAAAACTCTAGAGGAATCCGTAAAGGATGTTCTTTATCTGCTTTACTTTTTGTTTTGTCAGTAGAAATTATGGCTTTGAGATTACAGACAAACCAGTTAATGCTTTTAAGGGATTTATTTTGGTCACGACAACAAAGAACGACAACAAAGAACGTGAAAAGTTAAATTGAAACCTAAAATAGATAAAATATATCCTTACTTAAGTCATGGGAAAAAAAGAAAACTAGCTATGGTCAGGATAATATTGATTATAAAATGTTTGATACTACCAAAATTTACATTTTTGGCTACTTTATGTATTGTTCCAGACAAATACATTAAAGAAATTGAAAGCTGTTGTTTTAAATATATTTGGGAAGGTAAACATGACAAAGTAAAAAGAAACACACTTATCAATAAATATCAAAGAGGGGGGTTAAAAATGGTTGATTTTGATAGCTATTTTACAGCACTGAAAGCTTCATGGGTTTCCAAATTAACAACTATTCCTATCAAATATTTCAACAATCTGGGGAAAAATTTTCTTGTCTTTAACATGAATTTAGATAATGTAAAATCACTAAAAGAATTTGGGAAAATTCCGTAATTTTATTTGCAAGTAATTTCAAGTTGGGTGAAAACAGAGGGACGTTTAACAAAATTTAAAGATAATTTTTCAAATATCAGAAAACAGAAAGTTTGGGGAAATAGACACATTAAACATTGCAACGAAAGCTTGTTCTTTCAAAACTGGGTAACAAGTGGTTTGATATATATTAACGACATATTAGATTGTGAGGGAAAGTTATCAGAGGTTTTTATTTTAGAAAAGTTAAGCAATAAGTCAAATTGGATTTCAGAATTTAAGACATTAAAATCCTCCATCCAGAAGGAATGGCATCAACTTCTATTTAAAGAAAACTCTATAAAGAGTAAAATCAATATTTGTAAGGATGAATTGAGATGGGGAAATAAACAAATCCAAACAAAAGATATCTATAATAAAATGTTATATAATAGTTTAGTAGATCAAAAATATACACAGCCAATTGGTATCAATATTTGGACAAGATATTTAAAGTTAAGATTACAGGCCACATATGCCATTAGTAAACGAATTTATATCTAAATTTTTAAGAGAGAACAAGATGAAAATGTTTAGATGGAAACTGCTACAGTATCATCATCCAACAAAGTAGCTGTTTTAAATATACTAATGACAAAGTAAAAATCTAAGACATTAAAATCCTCCATCCCGAAGGAATGGCAGCAACTTCTATTTAAAGAAATCTCTATACAGAGTAAAATCAGTTGCTATTTAAACGAAAGATTTCTAAAGATAGTAAATGTAATTTTTGTAAAACAGAAGAGCAAGATTTACATTTTTTTATTACATGTTCATTTTTATAAGATTTTTTGGCGAAGGTGGAAAATCTTCAAACAAAACTCAATTTTAACAAGCATTCTGAGAGTATTGCATTGCAATACATAGTCCCCTACCGGGTAAAAATTCATTATACTGGAACAAAATGCTAACTTGTTCTATAACTTGTCATGGTGTAAACAATAAACTGCTTCGCTGAGCGCAGCTGGATACGCCCGCAGAGGTCCAACCCTGAACAGTTGGGGCAAAAATGGACACAATATTCAAGCTTGATACAGGTATGAATTTGGATTGTAATTAAATATTTGACATATAATAGGTTTCTGAATAAATGTAGTCAAAGAACTTGAAATTGGTTATATGAATTGAATTTATATTCAATTAAAGATTTCTTGCTGTTGTGCAATACACTGTGCTGTTGCGCAATACTTAGTAAATCTGTTGTCAGATTATAAACAAATAAAGTTCAATTTCTTCTCAATGTCATAATTGAAATTTATGAAAATCAATAGGGAGATTACATCAATAGCTATAATTAATTCACCAAAGTTTCATGCGAACTGCTTAAAGCATTTTTGAGTTATTGTCCAAAAACTGGAAAATCCCACCTTTTTTAATGAATAAAACTCCATAACTCATAAACGTAAAATCTAAAATTTATAAAAATCTAAAGGGAGCTCATGTCAATAGATATAAACAATTCACCAAAATTTCTTGCAAGTTGGTGAAAGCATTCTCGAGTTATTGTCGGAAAACTGGAAAATCCCCCCTTTTTTAATGAATAAAACCCAAAAACTCAGAAACGGTAAATCTGAAATTTATAAAAAACGAAAGGGAGCTTATGTCAATAGATATTATCAATTCACCAAAGTTTCATGCATATTATTTAAAGCATTTTTGAGTTAATGTCCGACATGTTGACGACGGACGGACAGATGGACAGACGGACAACGGTATACCATAATACGTCCCGTAAACAGGCGTATAAAAAGAAAATATCAAGTCAATATCTTCAAGCATGACTAAAAACAGTGTGGAAAACTGAATATATGAGTGAATTTTTTCAAGTCCAAGGACCATGACTCTGCACAAAATTATCAGACCGAAACAAAAATTTGAACTTGATCTGTAACTTGTCATGATAAAACTATATACCAATTGTCAATCAATATCTTCAAGCATGATGAAACTAGAGGCTCTCAAGAGCCTGTGTCGCTCACCTGTATTTACTGATGCTTTGGAAATCATGTAAAATAAGGTTAAAATCATAATTAATAGTATTAGATATTAGATATTATAATGATATCTAAGATAATAACAAAAAACTGCAAAATTTTTGTAAAATTACTAACTCAGTGGCAGCAACCCAACAACGGGTTGTCGGATTCGTCTGAAAATTTCAGGGCAGATAAATCTAAATCTGATGAACATTTTTGCCACCTGTCAGATTTGCTCTAAATGCTTTAGTTTCAGAGATATAAACCAAAAACTGCATTTTACCCCTATGTTCTATTTTTAACCAAGTTGGCCATGATGGTTGGAAGGCGCGGTCATCGGACAAATTTTTTAAACTAGATACCCTAATAATGATTATGGCCAAGTATGGTTAAATTTGTCTGAGTAGTTTCAGAGGAGAAGATTTTTGTAAAAGATTACAAAAATTTACGAAAAATTGTTAAAAATTTACTATTAAGGGCAATAACTCCTAAATGGGTCGACTGACAATTTTGGTCATGCAACTTATTTGTAGATCTTACTTTGCTGAACATTATTGCTGTTTACAGTTTATCTCTATCTATAATAATATTCAAGATAATAATCAATAAAATGCTTCGCTGGGCGCAGCTTGATACGACCGCAGAGGTCAAACCCTGAACAGTTGGGGCAAGTATGGACACAACATTCAAGCTTGATACAGCTCTGAATTTGGATTGTGATTAAATATTTGACACAGCATAGGTTTCTGACACAGAAAGAATGTGGTCTAAGAACTTCAATTTTTTTAATTTACCTATTATGGTCCAATGTCCAAAATCAAAATACATGGTTAGATTCAGCATATCAAAGAACCCCATATATTCAATTTTTGTTGAAATCAAACAAAGTTTAATTTTGGACCCCAACTTGGACAAACTTGAAAACTGGTCCCATAATCAAAAATCTAAACACATGTTTAGATTCAGCATATCAAAGTACCCCAAGAATTCAATTTTTGTTAAAATCAAACTAAGTTTAATTTTGGACCCTTTGGACCTTAATGTAGACCAATTTAAAAAACGGGACCCAAAATTAAAAATCTAAAAACACGGTTAGATTTGGCATATCAAAGAACCCCAATAATTCAATTTTTGATGAAATCAAACAAAGTTTAATTTTGGACCCTTTTGACCTCAATATGAACCAATTTGATAGCGGGCCCACAAAATAAAAAATCTAAATACATGGTAAGATTCAGCATATCAAAGAACCCCATATATTCAATTTTTGTTGAAATCAAACAAAGTTTAATTTTGGACCCCAATTTGGACCAACTTGAAAACTGGGCCAAAAATCTAAAATCTAAATACATGTTTAGATTCAGCATATCAAAGAACCCCATATATTCAATTTTTGTTGAAATCAAACAAAGTTTAATTTTGGACCCCAACTTGGACCAACTTGAAAACTGGGCCCATAATCAAAAATCTAAACACATGTTTAGATTCAGCATATCAAAGAACCCAAAAAATTCAATTTTTGTTAAAATCAAACTAAGTTTAATTTTGGACCCTTTGGACCTTTATGTAGACCAATTTAAAAAACGGGACCCAAAATTAAAAATCTAAATACACGGTTAAATTTGGCATATCAAAGAATCCCAATAATTCAATTTTTGATGAAATCAAACAAAGTTTAATTTTGGACCCTTTTGACCTCAATATGAACCAATTTGATAGCGGGCCCACAAATAAAAAATCTAAATACATGGTAAGATTCAGCATATCAAAGAACCCCATATATTCAATTTTTGTTGAAATCAAACAAAGTTTAATTTTGGACCCCAATTTGGACCAACTTGAAAACTGGGCCAAAAATCTAAAATCTAAATACATGTTTAGATTCAGCATATCAAAGAACCCCATATATTCAATTTTTGTTGAAATCAAACAAAGTTTAATTTTGGACCCCAACTTGGACCAACTTGAAAACTGGGCCCATAATCAAAAATCTAAACACATGTTTAGATTCAGCATATCAAAGAACCCCAAGAATTCAATTTTTGTTAAAATCAAACTAAGTTTAATTTTGGACCCTTTGGACCTTAATGTAGACCAATTTAAAAACGGGACCCAAGATTAACAAGAGTGCACACGCTGAAATGTCTCGCCTTCTTTACTAATCATTGATATTATGTTGATAGTCCTAAATATAAAGCTTTATTACAACTGTCACATAAACTTAACATTAACCAAGTAAACTAAACATTGACCAATGAACCATGAAAATGAGGTCAAGGTCAGATGAACCATGCTAGGCAGGCATGTACAGCTAACAATTCTTCCATACAACAAATATAGTTGACCTATTGCTTATAGTTTAAGAAAAACAGACGAAAACACAAAAACTTAACACTGAGCAATGAACCTTGAAAATGAGGTCAAGGTCAAATAAAACCTGCGTGACTGACATATAGATCATAAAATATTTTCATACACCAAATATAGTTGAACTATTGCATATAGTATTAGAAAAAAAGACCAAAACTCAAAAACTTAACTTTGACCACTGAACCATGAAAATGAGGTCAAGGTAAGATGACACCTGCCAGCTAGACATGTACACCTTACAATCATTCCATACACCAAATATAGCTGACCTATTGCATGCAGTATTAGAAAAAAAGACCAAAACTCAAAAACTTAACTTTGACCACTGAACCATGAAAATGAGGTCAAGGTCAGATGACACCTGCCAGCTAGACATGTACACCTTACAATCATTCCATACACCAAATATAGTAGACCTATTGCATACAGTATAAGAAAAACAGACCAAAACACAAAAACTTAACTATAACCACTGAACCATGAAAATGAGGTCAAGGTCAGATGACACCTGCCAGTTGGACATGTACACCTTACAGTCCTTCCATACACCGAATATACTAGACCTATTGCTTATAGTATCTGAGATATGGACTTGACCACGAAAACTTAACCTTGTTCACTGATCCATGAAATGAGGTCGAGGTCAAGTGAAAACTATCTGACGGGCATGAGGACCTTGCAAGGTACCCACATACCAAATATAGTTATCCTATTACTTATAATAAGAGAGAATTTAACATTACAAAAAATCTGAACTTTTTTTTCAAGTAGTCACTGAACCATGAAAATGAGGTCAAGGACATTGGACATGTGACTGACTGAAACTTCGTAACATGAGGCATCCATATACAAAGTATGAAGCATCCAGGTCTTCCATCTTCTAAAATATAAAGCTTTTAAGAAGTTAGCTAACGCCGCCGCCGCCGCCGCCGCCGTAGCCGCCGCCGCCGGATCGCTATCCCTATGTCGAGCTTTCTGCGACAAAAGTCGCAGGCTCGACAAAAATCTAAATACACGGTTAAATTTGGCATATCAAAGAACCCCAATAATTCAATTTTTGATGAAATCAAACAAAGTTTAATTTTGGACCCTTTTGACCTCAATATGAACCAATTTGATAGCGGGTCCACAAATAAAAAATCTAAATACATGGTTAGATTCAGCATATCAAAGAACCCCAAGAATTCAATTTTTGATGAAATCAAACAAAGTTTAATTTTGGACCCTTTTGACCTCAATGTGGACAAAGTTGATAACGGGGCCCAAAAATCAAAAATCTAAATACATGGTTAGATTCAGCATATCAAAGAACCCCATATATTCAATTTTTGTTGAAATCAAACAAAGTTTAATTTTGGACCCCGATTTGGACCAACTTGAAAACTGGGCCCATAATCAAAAATCTAAATACATGTTTAGATTCAGCATATCAAAGAACCCTAAAAATTCAATTTTTGTTAAAATCAAACTAAGTTTAATTTTGGACCCTTTTGACCTTAATGTAGACCAATTTGAAAATGGAACCAAAAATTAAGAATCTAAATACACGGTTAGATTTGGCATATCAAAGAACCCCAATAATTCAATTTTTGATGAAATCAAACAAAGTTAAATTTTGGACCCTTAGGACCTCAATGTGGACCAATTTAAAAACGGGGCCCAAAATCCAAAAACTTATTACACGGTTAGATTCAGCATATTAAAGAACCCCAAGAATTCAAGAATAAAACCCCATTGAAATTGATCAAGAAATAAGCAATTTATACGAAGTATCTTCTTTTGCACAATACTGTGCAATTGAATATTTCTTGCTATTGTGCAATACTGTACAATTGACAATTTCTTGCTATTGTGCAATATTGTGCTATTGGATATTTCTTGCTATTGCGCAATACTGTGCAATTGAAGATTTCTTGCTATTGCGCAATACTGTGCAATTGAAGATTTCTTGCAATTGTGCAATACTGTGCAATTGAAAATTTCTTGCTATTGCACAATACTTATTATATAATAATTTACACATCCTGTTTGGTGTGTATCTCCTACCATATCATTATTATTTGCTTTTAAATATTAATCAGAAATAACCAACTTAAAATGGAAAATTTTAAAAGAAAAAAAAAAGGAAAAAAAAGAAAAAAAAAGAAAAACCCCCCCCCCCCCCCCCAAATTTTTTGAACCCCCTTATGATTCATCACCCCCAAACTCAATCCCAGCCTTCCCTTTGTGGTATGGTACCTTGCAGTACAATTTCAGAGAGATCCATGCACTTGAACACAAGTTATTGTCTGGAAACTAGAAAAATGCTTATTTTTGGCCCCTTTTTGGCCCCCAATTCCTAAACGTTTCGGGCAATTACCCCCAAACTCAATTCCAGCTTTCCCTTTGTGATATGGAACCTTGTAGTACAATTTCAGAAATATCCAAACACTTACACACAAGTTATTGTCATGAAACTAGAAAAATGCTTGTTTTTTGCCCCTTTTTTGGCCCCTAATTCCTAAAATTTTGAGGCAATTACCCCCAAAATCAATTACAGCCTTCCCTTTGTGATATGGAACCTTGTGGTACAATGTCAGAGAGATCCATACAGTTACACACAAGTTATTGTCTGGAAGTTACAAAAATGCTTATTTTTGGCCCCTTTTTGGCCCCTAATTCCTTAACTGTTGGTACCATCACCCCCAAAATCAATCCCAACCTTCCTTTCGTGGTATTGAACCTTATCGTAAAATTTCATGGAGATCCATTCACTTAAACTAAAGTTAGAGTGGGAAAACCAATGTGTCTTCGGACGACGCCGGACGACGCCAGACGACGACGACGACGACGACGACGACGACGCCAACGTCATACCAATATACGACCAAAAAATTTTCAATTTTTGCGGTCGTATAAAAACTGCAAAATTTCCTTAAAATTATCAATTCAGGGGCAGCAACCCAACAACTGGTTGTCAGATTTGTCTGAAAATTTCAGGGCAGATAGATCTTGACCTGATAATCAGTTTTACCCCCATGTAAGATTTACTCTAAATGCTTTGGTTTCAGAGATATAAGCCAAAATCTACATTTTACCCCTATGTTCTATTTTTAGCCATGGCGGCCATCTTGGTTGGTTGGCGGGGTCATCGGACACATTTTTTAAACTAGATACCCTAATGATGATTGTGGCCAAGTTTGGTTAAATTTGGCCCAGTGGTTTCAGAGGAGAAGATTTTTGTAAAAAGCTAACGACGACGACGGACGCCAAGTGATGAGAAAAGCTCACTTGGCCCTTTCGGGCCAGGTGAGCTAAAAAAGTGAGGAAACCTATAACACTCTAACATTAGATATGATTAATAGTTCTCTAAAATTAGATATGATGTAATACAATGTATATCTATTTTCAAATTACAATCAAATATAATTAATAGTTCCAAATATTTTTTCTTTCATTTGTCACAAACTAATAAAGATTTGTAACTTATCTATAAAATGTTAACAACTTTTATCTACACAATGTAATGTAATGAAATATATACCTTAATAAAAATAGATTATTATCTAATTAAAGGATTTCACTTAATAAAAATATATATATATATATATATACATGTAGCATTCAGAAAATTAGTTTATACAAAATAACATATAAACCTGCCACAAAATTCCTCAAACAATTTACCAAAAAAAATGAGTTATCTCCCTTTGTACAGATATATGGTTTAACATAGTACTCTAACATTAGTTATGGAGTTTTTTTATGGACCATAACTCTGGACTAAATCATCAGATCGGAATAAAATTCGAACTTGATCTATAACTTGTCATGATAAAACTATATACTAAATATTAAATCAATATCTTCAAGAACGAAGAAAAAAGTGTGGAAAACTGAGTTGCCGGACTGATGGATGGACAGACGGACAGAGTGCAAACCTAAAGTCCCCTTCAACTTCGTCAGCAGGGGACCAAAAACAAGAAATCAGAAAAACATATAGTATTTATTTAGATACAAAATATCAGATTATGATTTTAACTATTTTGTGACAGTTTTAGGTTTTTGCATTTACAAGTCATACTATGTTTCAGAGCAAAAATTGAAATTCTTAGATGTGTATGAATTGTTTATAAAGGAATAACAAAGGGTTATGAATGACAGCAAACGATCTCTCAAAATGTATTTCTCATAAATTCAAAGAAATTAGTTTAATAGAATAATAAATATATATTGTCATAGTTTATGTAATGTTATAAATTATATTCTGAGTATTTTCCTGGCCACTCAAAGTATATTACAGGAATACTCCACTGGACAGTGAAGCATAATTGTAACAGGCAATCTATAGAATAAAGACTATATTTTTGTTGCTAAAAAAAACTAAAATAAATGTGGATAGTGTCCACATGTGGACACAAATGATGCCCCCGCTTGCATGTCATATAGTTATAAAGGGACATAACTGAAGAACAGTAAAAGTGACGCTACCCAAATTTGAACTTGATCTGAGTTTTGTGGTAATAAGCATTGTGTTTAAGTCTCATAACATTTGGTTGAGGCTAACTTAAGTAGAGAACAGAAACTAAAAATTCAGCAATTTTTCTATTTGTAAACATGCATAATTTGGTTGAGACAAACTAAAGTTAGAGAACGGAAATGAAAGTTTCAGCAATTTTTATGTTTAAAAAGGGACATAACTCAAGAATGATAAAAGTGTCGCCACCAAATTTTGTACTTAATCTGTATTATGTAGTAATAAGCATTGTGTATAAGTTTCATAACATTTGGTTGAGGCAAACTAAAGTTAGAAAACGGAAACAAAAAATTTGTACTTGATCTTAGTTTTGTGGTAATGAATATTATGTATAGGTTTCATAATGTTTGGTTTGGGCAAGCTTAAGTTACAGAATGGAAACTAAAAATTTTGCAATCTTTCGATTTATAAAGGGGCATAACTCAATAATGGTTAAAGTGACACTACCCAAATTCAACTTGATCTGTGTTTTATCAGTGGAAGTCAAAATTGAACATTGCATTGTATAAAGTATTGATTGTAGTTGATTCAACTATAATCATGGACAAAGGAAGATAACTCCAATTTAAAAATTACTTGATATTTAGAAGAAAATAAAAAGTTTGCAATTTTTCCATTTATAAAGGGGCATAACTCTAGAACGGTTAAGGTGACGCCACCAAAATTCAAACTTGATCTGTGTTTTGTGGTAATAAGCATTGTGTATAATTTTCATAACATTTGGTTGAGGCAAACTTAACTTAGAGAACGGAAACTAAAAATTTTGCAATTTTTCCATTTATAAAGGGGCATAACTCTAGAACGGTTAAAGTGACACCACCAAAATTCAAACTTGATCTGTGTTTTGTGGTAATAAGCATTGTGTAAAAGTTTCATAACATTTGGTTGAGGCAAACTCAAGTTAGAGAACAGAAACCAAAATTCCGTACGTACAGACGGACAAGGGTAAAACTTAATGCCCCCACCGCTATGGCGGGGGCATAAAAAATATTGTTTCAGATTTTCAATCTTACCAAGAATGCTAAAATAAGAATGTCAAAGGGTAAAAGGGCGACAGACAATGGGATTGATTCATAATATGGTTTTTGAAGATCAAGAATATGGTGTTCGAAGATCAAGAATGGAATCATAATATAATTGTGTAAGGATTTTTGGTTGTTTTATAATTTCTATGATTTTATCTTTTTTATATGAAATAACATAGTCCACATCAGGGGTTACATTGTATCCTATCCAGCAAAACTAGGGGAAGGGGAGTAGAACAGAAAAAAAATTGCATTGAGTTCCAATAACTTATGTATTGAAGAGAACAACAATGGCAGTCTTGTTTAGGTGACAAATTTTGCTGTTTCTTTGTCTGATATAGTTTTCATAAAGGCAAAAATGGATAAAATAAAAAGTGTTTTTAAGAACAACAATTTATATAAGGATTCAACTTATTTTGGCCGCTTTATTTATTTGTAGATATTGTCTTCCTGGATTTTTTTGTCATTTAAATTTTTTCTTTATCTACAATTGTCTTTGCAAAAGGGGCAATAAATGTGTTAAAATCAGCTATGGGACTATTTGAAGATCTAGCTGACCTTTGTTGCTGTTTAAAGATTTCAATTATTTAACTTGTGTGTGGATCTAATTTCCCTAAAATAATTATTCAAATGGTTATTTAAAGTGTAGAGAGCGTGAAACTCTTCCTACACGAGGCATCAGATATAGGACATCTCCATTTCGACAGGACGTAGCTGTGTATTTATATATCCACACAAGCCAAACGGACACACCTCTTTATCAAGGGTTTACTGTAGGGCGGGAGAAGTCCAGAGATGTCAATATTTCTATACTCTAGTCAATCCTTTGGGTTTGAATAAAAGGGTACTGTAAATTCAGAAATTATTGTGCATTTATTATTGCGATTTTTGAAAAATTAACAAAAATGCGAGTTTAACTATTGTGAATTTTGGAAAAGTTACATACAGATATATGTATTTGATATCAGACTGCAAGTTTTTATTATTGCGATACTCAAGTAGTCGCGTTATTCACATAAATAAAAACCTCGCAATAATTTCTGAATTTACAGTATACATTAATAAGACAGCAAAACAACAAGACAATCAAAACATTTAGAAATTGAAAATATCACCTTCCTTTTTTTTCAATCTTGATCAGTGGAAATCAAAGAAGGTGTACTAAAAACCAGTAAAGAAAAACACTTCACTATAAATACAAACCTATAAGATATGAATTTGATGGACAGACGACTAAACAAACAAAGCAATTATAATATACTCCCAAAACTTTTCAGGGAGCATAATAAATAAAGCTATGCTACTTTTGCTGAGTTAGGGAATATTTGCAATTAAGTCGGTGAATAAAATCAGAACAATTCTACAAAAATATATATAGGATATCTGATTTCCGAGCTATATTTTTCACAATTTACAAAGTCTTTTGTATAGTTCATTGTCAAAAATTCTTAACCAAAATTTTTTAGGGAAAGGTTAAATTTGATGCTAAAATGTCATCTTAATATGACCTCTATTAAATGGGAAGTCTTCAAATCTTATACACCATGACATACAAATGTTACCACATGGAGTGAAAGATAATCAGATTGGTTTGTAAGTCACATAACGTAACAGTACCCAAATTGCACTGAGTACCCAATTTGCACCCATTTTGCATAAAAAGCCAAGGATATCATATAGGTTTTCTTAGAAACTAATTGTTTCATAATTTTATCATTTATCATTATGCACGTCTTTCAGCATAGCTAAACATCCTAAAAGATACACCAAATGGTCACATTATATATTAACAGATGAAGTCTCAAGTGAAAAAAGTAAAATTTACTGCAATGTTGCATGCTTCGTTTGCAGAAAGTCTACTTTTTAAAATTGAGAAATTAAAATATGTAACAAACATCACTTTCATACAAAATGCATAACAAGCATGAAATATTGTCCATTTGTTAAAAAAAAGTGGAGAAATAAAACAAAAACATGATTATTCAATTTTTTCACATGTGTAGTTAAGCATTGGGCAATTATGGGTGTACACCTCTGAGGAGCCAAAAATTTCTAGAATTCAACTATTTTTTCTTAACCTGATATTTGGGTTTATATGACTGTAAGAAAGTAATTGATGAAGAAATAAACTGTTATCACAGAGATATGTCTCGCTTTTTTGTAATTTTGATAATGCAAATGTTGAAATTAAAATAGCAAAACTTTAACATGTAAGTTTTGCAAATATTCAAAGTCAATGAACCATGACTGAAGGTACATGGCTAAACAATCTCAATGGAAATGAGATGTGCCAATGCTGATACAACTGCATACCAAATACTATTGACTTATCATAAGCAGTTCCCTTTAAACAAACCTAAACACAAACTAATACATGTAAACTAAGCAAAATCTCAAAGTCAATAAACCATGACTGAGGGGACGGGGTCAAATAATCTCCATGGTAATGAGATGTGCCAATGCTAATACAACTGCATACCAAATATCATTGACCTACCACTAGTGGTTCGCCATAAACCGACCTAATCACAAACTAATACATGAAAACTAAGCAAAAGTTTCAAAGTCAATAAACCATGACTGAGGGAGCGGGGCCAAATAATCTCCATGGAAATGAGATATGCCAATGCTTATACCACTGCATACCAATTATCATCAACTTATCACTAGTGGTTCCCTATAAACTGACCTAATCACAAACTAATACATGAAAACATAGCAAAAATTTCAAAGTCAATAGACCATCACTGAGGGGGCAGGGCCAAATAATCTCCATGGAAATGAGATCTGCCAATGCTTATACAACTGCATACCAATTATCATTAACTTACCACTAGTGGTTCCCCATAAACTGACCTAATCACAAACTAATACATGAAAACTAAGCAAAAGTTTCAAAGTCAATAGACCATAACTGAGGGGGCGTGGCCAAATAATCTCCATGGTAATGAGATGTGCCAATACTAATACAACTGCATACCAAATATCTTTGACTTACCACTAGTGGTTCACCATAAACTAGACCTAATCACAAACTAATACATTGTTGACGCTGCCGCCGACGCCGGAAACAGCATACCTATGTCTCGCTTTTTGACTCTGTCAAGCAAGACAAAAATCATATGGTGGTGCACTTCTTTTATAGCTACAGCCATTTTGAAAGTACCCCATTTTTAATGACTTTCCAATTTTCATCAATTTTTACCCATTTTTGGGCTATTATCATGAAAAGAATCACAGTTTCACAATTAAACTTTTTTTCATACTTTCACTAAAGATGAAGAGGATCAATCTGATTAAATTTAACTTAAAAAACTATATGTTGGTGTTAATATGAGAAAGATTTATAAAATTTTGTTGCTTTTTCATGTCAAATTGACCATGCTGTCAATTTTGTAAATTTGGGATTTTTCTCTTTTTTTTAAGAACAAAAAGCATATTATTTCAACTTCTTTGTTATAAATGATTGAAAAAATACATATCTAAGAATTTTGAAAAGAAAAAATTGATATGGGATGTACATATTTTTGGTAAAATCATTTCTTTGTACCCCTCATCCATTTTCTCAACATTTTGGCTGATGACACTGACCGGATTGGTTATAAAATCTGAAAATTTTATTATTCAATAAAATGCTTCGCTGGGGCGCAGCTTGATACGACCGCAGAGGTCGAACCCTGAACAGTTGGGGCAAGTATGGACACAACATTCAAGCTTGATACAGCTCTGAATTTGGATTGTTATTAAATATTTGACACAGCATAGGTTTCTGACACAGAAAGAATGTGGTCTAAGAATTTGAATTTTTTTTAATTTACCTATTATGGTCCAATGTCCAAAATCAAAATACATGGTTAGATTCAGCATATCAAAGAACCCCATATATTCAATTTTTGTTAAAATCAAACAAAGTTTAATTTTGGACCCCAACTTGGACAAACTTGAAAACTGGGCCCATAATCAAAAATCTAAACACATGTTTAGATTCAGCATATCAAAGAACCCCAAGAATTCAATTTTTGCTAAAATCAAACTAAGTTTAATTTTGGACCCTTTGGACCTTAATGTAGACCAATTTAAAAAACGGGACTTAAAATTAAAAATCTAAATACACGGTTAGATTTGGAATATCAAAGAACCCCAATAATTCAATTTTTGATGAAATCAAACAAAGTTTAATTTTGAACCCTTTTGACCTCAATATGAACCAATTTGATAGCGGGGCCCACAAATAAAAAATCTAAATTCATGGTTAGATTCAGCATATCAAAGAACCCCATATATTCAATTTTTGTTGAAATCAAACAAAGTTTAATTTTGGACCCCAACTTGGACCAACTTGAAAACTGGGCCCATAATCAAAAATCTAAACACATGTTTAGATTCAGCATATCAAAGAACCCCAAGAATTCAATTTTTGTTAAAATCAAACTAAGTTTAATTTTGGACCCTTTGGACCTCAATGAAGACCAATTTAAAAAACGGGACCCAAATTAAAAATCTAAAAACACGGTTAGATTTGGCATATCAAAGAACCCCAATAATTCAATTTCTGATGAAATCAAACAAAGTTTAATTTTGGACCCTTTTGACCTCAATATGAACCAATTTGAAAGCGGGGCCCACAAATAAAAAATCTAAATACATGGTTAGATTCAGCATATCAATGAACCTCATATATTCAATTTTTGTTGAAATCAAACAAAGTTTAATTTTGGACCCCAATTTGGACCAACTTGAAAACTGGGCCCATAATCAAAAATCTAAATACATGTTTAGTTTCAGCATATCAAAGAACCCCATATATTCAATTTTTGTTGAAATCAAACAAAGTTTAAATACTGAACCCTATCTTGGACCAACTTGAAAACTGGGCCCATAATCAAAAATCTAAACACATGTTTAGATTCAGCATATCAAAGAACCCCAAGAATTCAATTTTTGTTAAAATCAAACTAAGTTTAATTTTGGACCCTTTGGACCTTAATGTAGACCAATTTAAAAAACAGGACCCAAAATTAAAAATCTAAATACACGGTTAGATTTGGAATATCAAAGAACCCCAATAATTCAATTTTAGATGAAATCAAACAAAGTTTAATTTTGGACCCTTTTGACCTCAATATGAACCAATTTGATAACGGGGTCCACAAATAAAAAATCTAAATACATGGTTAGATTCAGCATATCAAAGAACCCCATATATTCAATTTTTGTTGAAATCAAACAAAGTTTAATTTTGGACCAACTTGAAAACTGGGCCAAAAATCAAAAATCTAAATACATGTTTAGATTCAGCATATCAAAGAACCTCATATATTCAATTTTTGCTAAAATCAAACAAAGTTTAATTTTGGACCCTTTTGACCTCAATATGAACCAATTTGATAACGGGGTCCACAAATAAAAAATCTAAATACATGGTTAGATTCAGCATATCAAAGAACCCCATATATTCAATTTTTGTTGAAATCAAACAAAGTTTAATTTTGGACCAACTTGAAAACTGGGCCAAAAATCAAAAATCTAAATACATGTTTAGATTCAGCATATCAAAGAACCTCATATATTCAATTTTTGCTAAAATCAAACAAAGTTTAATTTTGGACCCTTTGGACCTTCATATGGATTTTTTTGTAAAAAAAAAAAGATGCAACATTTGCAGATATTTTTACTGGTCTTCCTTTATAAATATGCATTTCTTTACACATAATTTAAAAGCAGTGAAAGGGAAGTAACCAAAACGTTGTATTTGGATTACCTCCCTTACACTGTTTTAAATTATCTTTATTGTTCATTAACCATTACTTTATACATAATTTAAAAGCAGTGTAAGGGAGATAATTTTAATGATGTATTTGATTTATCTCCCTTACACTGCTTTAAATTATGTTTTGAACTAAAGTATTTGTCCATTAACCAGGACAACCTTGTTTTTCCCCCTTTTTTGCCCCTAATTCCTAAACGGTTTGAGCCATAACCCCCCAAAGCAAATCCTAACCATCCCTTTGTGGTATGGAAACTTGTAGTATAATTTCAGAGAGATCCATACACTGTTCCACAGTTATTGTCTGGAAACTAGAAAATTCTTATTTTTGGGCCCTTTTTGGCCCCTAATTCCTTAACTGTTGGTACCATAACCCCCAAAATCAATCCCAACCTTCCTTTTGTGGTATTTAACCTTATGGTCAAATTTCAAAAAGATCCATTCACTTAAACTAAAGTTAGAGTGCGAAAACCAATGTGTCTTCGGACAGCGACGACGACGACGCCAACATCATACCAATATACGACCACAAAATTTTTTTGCAGTCGTATAAAAACTACTTATTGTAAGTACACAACTTTTTCACAGAGTTTAGTTTTATTATAATATTTTTAAAATTCATTGATATTTTCCACTTGTATCACACATGTTTTGGAAATAATTCCCGATCAAGATTTCAACGAGACTGAAACATCAGAAGAATACATCCTTAAGGTACTCCTCATTACATATTCTTGGATCGTTTGGAGGTCAGTTTAAACCCATTTTTCTATGACTCAGTATGGATTCAAAATTAAATTTGTGGAGCTATATAGTAAATAAGGATATATCTACAAAATAAATACAGAATGGAAACTTTTGTCTGTTTCTTTAATAAATTATGGTGAAAAATCTGTCAAAATAGGTGCAATTTGGGTTCCTTCACATGTTCTATAAATGAACCAGGATGGAAAACTTAACAAAGTGACAGTAAGCTTTAATTGTTTTTTTTTTTTGTGGACAGAAGCAATTATATCCCCCCAGATTCACCCTTAAGCCAATTTACATGGCAGATCTCGGAAAAAAACCCAAAGAAATATTTGTTATTTTCATTTCAATTTGATGTTCCATAGAAAGTTAACATTACTGCTGTGTTAAATTGCAGTGAGGTAAAATTTTGATTTTGCTCCTTATTGAAGGTATAACTGTGTCCTTCAAAATAGTTACCTTAAAAGTTTTTTTTATTTTTCTGTTTCTGGATGATATTGAAACTACTGCTTGACTAAATTTATTGAAACTCTAACACAATGCTGAGGACCATAAAATACAGGTCAAGTTTGATTTTGGTAATTTTGACATTTACAATTCAAGAGTCATGCTCCTTAGTTACCATAGAAGTTTGGTTTTCTTCTGTTTCCAGAAAATGAAAAAGCATTGCTTGACCAAATCATTTGAAACTTGAAGACAATGTCACTGATGAACCATAAAATACAGAAATACAGGTCAAGTTTAATGGTTTTTATATGTACCATTCAATAGTTATGCCCCTTAATTACCGTAAAAATTGGTATTCAAAGAGTTACTATTATTTTTAAGTATCACTTGATGAAAGCATTTGAAATTTGAACACAATTAAAAACCTTTTGAAGCATTTTCTGTATGAATGTATTGATTTTCTTCTCAAATTAAGATGCGTTAAAAACTTGGCACAATGCTAGCTTTCAATTTCAAGCATAAAAAGTATGTTTTATCATTTCTATTAAAAAATATAAATGCATGATTAACATACAACATAGATCTTATCTCTGAACATCAATTTTTAGGAACAATTTATATAATTTCATGTATCTATATAGATAAACATAAATAAAATCTTATTACCCATACTAATAATACAACAAGTTGCTTGCTTTAAAAAAAGAAATGCAATCATGAACCTAAATGCCTGTTTGGCATGAAAGATCAGCTGATAGTTATATAAAGTAGGCAGGTTCTTCCTCACACTGAAGGTTGCAAGCTGACTTGCTCAGGCAGGAACTGATTTGATTGTTTATAATAAAATTATTATTCTAACATATCTTCCTGCTTTAAGCCAGTATGACTTGCAAAGATTATGTTTTGGTTAACAGACAGATATCCCTTATGTTAAATTTGGTTTAGTTTTGTTTGGAGCTGGTAATTGGTGTACAATGCTCAATTATGTGGGTTGCTGTCTTGACTTTGAGATTTGCTCTATCAGGAGAGTTTACTTGAACTAAACATTGGACTTCAGGACTTCTCATCAATAAACACAGAAAATAATTTACCTAAATTACAGCTGTAAAATACAGGTTGATGTGATCATTAAGCTTTTCATTTCATCAATGGAAGGCTTTATACATTATGAAACTTTGGTCTTTGAGATAGGTAAATAAAATATATCTCAAAATATTTAGTAAGCCTGCCGTTGGTGACCTAGAATGTTTTGCTCACTGACACTAGACATTTATAAAATGAGTTTTTGCATACCACTCGACAATAACAAAATAACAAACAACCACTTTCTTAAAAAATGTGGATAGTGTCCACATGTGGACACGGATGATGCCCCCGCTTGCATAGCATATAGTTATAAAGGGACATAACTGAAGAACAGTAAAAGTGACGCTACCCAAATTTGAACTTGATCTGAGTTTTGTGGTAATAAGCATTGTGTTTAAGTCTCATAACATTTGGTTGAGGCTAACTTAAGTAGAGAACAGAAACTAATAAAATGCTTCGCTGGGCGCAGCTTGATACAACCGCAGAGGTCAAACCCTGAACAGTTGGGGCAAGTAAGGACACAACATTCAAGCTTGATACAGCTCTGAATTTGGATTGTGATTAAATATTTGACACAGCATAGGTTTCTGACACAGAAAGAATGTGGTCTAAGAACTTGAATTTTTTTAATTTACCTATTATGGTTCAATGTCCAAAATCAAAATACATGGTTAGATTCAGCATATCAAAGAACCCCATAGATTCAATTTTTGTTAAAATAAAAAAAAGTTTAATTTTGGACCCCAACTTGGACCAGCTTGAAAACTGGGCCCATAATCAAAAATCTAAACACATGTTTAGATTCAGCATATCAAAGAACCCCAAGAATTCAATTTTTGTTAAAATCAAACTAAGTTTAATTTTGGACCCTTTGGACCTTAATGTAGACCAATTTAAAAAACGGGACCCAAAAATTAAAAATCTAAAAACACGGTTAGATTTGGCATATCAAAGAACCCCAATAATTAAATTTTTGATGAAATCAAACGAAGTTTAATTTTGGACCCTTTTGACCTCAATATGAACCAATTTGATAGCGGGGTCCACAAATAAAAAATCTAAATACATGGTTAGATTCAGCATATCAAAGAACCCCATATATTCAATTTTTGTTGAAATCAAACAAAGTTTAATTTTGGACCCTTTGGACCTTAATGTAGACCAATTTGAAAACTGGACCCAAAATTAAAAATCTAAATACACGGTTAGATTCGGCATAACAAATAAATAAATGTGGTCAAAGATTTTACAAATCTAATGCCCCATTCTGTGCAATTAAAGATTACTTCTTGAAATTTTTCAATATTTGAAATTTGAAAAATAAATAATATTTGAAGAATAATTCTTTTTAATTTCTGAAATCTGAAATGAGAAAAAATTGACCCCCCCTAATTTCTTTTTACCCCCCCCCCCCCTTTTTCCCCCAAAAAATTCTTTCCCTCAAGATATGGTCATAATCTCAATTCAAATTTCCAATGGAGTTTGCAACCATAATTACCCATTTAAATTTACCATAGTGCTAACTTAATCTATTTCATAAGGATTTTTTTGAAAAAAAAAAAGATGCAACATTTGCAGATATTTTTACTGGTCTTCCTTTATAAATATGCATTTCTTTAAACATAATTTAAAAGCAGTGTAAGGGAAGTAACCAAAACGTTGTATTTGGATTACCTCCCTCACACTTTTTTTAAATTATCTTAATTGTTCATTAACCATTACTTTATACATAATTTAAAAGCAGTGTAAGGGAGGTAATTTCAATGATGTATTTGATTTATCTCCCTTACACTGCTTTAAATTATGTTTTGTACTAAAGTATTTGTCCATTAACCAGGACAACCTTGTTTTTCCCCCTCTTTTGCCCCTAATTCCTAAACGGTTTGAGCCATAACCCCCCAAAGAAAATCCTAACCATCCCTTTGTGGTATGGAAACTTGTAGTATAATTTCAGAGAGATCCATACACCGTTCCACAGTTATTGTCTGGAAAATAGAAAATGCTTATTTTTGGCCCCTTTTTGACCCCTAATTCCTTAACTGTTTGTACCATAACCCCCAAAATCAATCCCAACCTTCCTTTTGTGTGGATTTAACCTTCTGGTAAAATTTCAAAGAGATCCATTCACTTAAACTAAAGTTAGAGTGCGAAAACCACTGTGTCTTCGGACGACGACGACTACGACGACGACGCCAACATCATACCAATATACGACTGCAAAATTTTTTTTCGGTCGTATAAAAATTCAGCAATTTTTCTATTTGTAAACACGCATAAAACTAGAACCGTTGTGTATAAGTTTTATAACATTTGGTTGAGACAAACTAAAGTTAGAGAACGGAAACGAAAAATTCAGCAATTTTTATGTTTAAAAAGGGACATAACTCAAGATCAGTAAAAGTGTTCTCACCAAATTTCGTACTTGATCTGTATTATGTAGTAATAAGCATTGTGTATAAGTTTCATAACATTTGGTTGAGGCAAACTAAAGTTAGAAAACGGAAACAAAAAATTTGTACTTAATCTTAGTTTTGTGGTAATGAATATTGTGTATAGGTTTCATAATGTTTGGTTGGGGCAACCAATTTTGGGACGTACGTACGTACAGACAGACAGACAGACACGAGTAAAACTTAATGCCCCCACCGCTACAGTGGAGGCATAACTACAGGAATTGTTTACACTTATGAGATTTCAGAAAAGATTTCAGATAATAAACAAGAGACTACAAGAAAATTACAATACGAGACAATTACAGACTGACTACATACACCAAGTTTGTATAAACCCTTACTAAAACCGTTTTGGAAAACCAATTACACTGGTTTATATGGTTTGGTCATTAGCTATCATATTCAAGATATGCTTGATCTCTATTTATCTAAACCGCCTCTGTGGTCTCATGGTAGCGCGTTTGCCTCGAATGTGGGAGGTCATGAGTTTGAACCCTGGCCGGGTCAAACCAAAGACTTTAAAATTGGTATTTGTTGCTTCTCCGCTAAGCACCCTGCATTAAGGAGTAAGAGCAAAGACTGATTGGCTCGGAGTCAGAATAATGTGTCTGGGTAAGTTGACATGTCTTCCTGTGGACTGTTACCATGTGAACTAGCACGCTAAAAATCCGGCCCAGCCTGTCTGTTTAGTACAAAGCAGGGTTAATATTCATATTACATTAACATGTTCTCGTCCTGAAAATGCAGATCAATTTGCTGCTGGAAGTTAAGCAGCCATCCATCATCATCATCATCATCATCATCTTCAATTTATCTTTACCCCAGGCAACAAACTCCAATTAGGCTTTTTAGAGTAGAAACAGTTTGAAATGACAACTTTATACTTAAATCGGTTTGTTCAAACAATCTCACTTTTTCGTTTCATAACTTGTCTTTTTGCATATTAGCCAATATATAGTATAATTCTTCTGTACTCACATGCAGAGCGACCACCAGGCATTAAGCCACCTTGAGTAACAGTTATTCCACCTGAGGGAATATGATGTTTATCTTGTTGTCTTCTTCCAGATAGAATTTCTGGTTTATCATTAAATTCAACTGAACTTCTTTTCTGATCATTTATCACAGCTGAATCTTGCATGCTTAAATCTGAAAAACATCATTCAACAAATATTGTATCCAAGTATTGAAATATTTAATGGGATTCAAAGTGAAGAATAAAATAAAGATTTGTCAGCAGAAATTCCATTTTGCTTAAATTAGTTTTTCCAATTCAATGAAACCATATGTTAAGGGGTTTTAAGGTTTGCTAAATTTATTCTCATATGGTAGAGTGGTACCCCTGAAATTCAAACCAGACATCATATATATAGAGGTGTCTGTAGTAAAGGAATTTACCTTCCAAAATCGTTTGGTTATTTTTGTCATTGTGTTGTCATCTCATTGACATATATCTCACATCTCCTTACATTTATGTGCATAGAAATATGTAGTTACAGATTGCAGCCTGCTGTCCCAGCAAGTTCTTCTGTAAAAAGTTAAAAGGACTCTAACAAGCAATTTTTTCTGTACATCTCGTTTCATGTCCAATTATCCGAATTGTTCTTTTTTAAAATGAGACAATTGATAAATTAACTGAAATACAGATTGTTTTTTTAAAACAGGTCAATTGATAAACTAATTGAATAATTCTTTGTTTAAACAAGTTAAATACTTTGGCATTGACTTCTGTAATATGTTCATGAATAAAGTTTTATGTGATATATGTTATTGATGTGTTATGGCATATTGATCTTAGTATGGTACCATTTAAAACACAAATAACAGCATATACACAAGATATGTGGTAATTTAAGTCCTAACATAATAAATCAAAGTACTGAAGTACTGAACATCGGATGACCACAAGTTCTTGAGGATGGTCAAAAGCACTTGTCTCAGAAAAAAACAACATATCTCTTTACCTGAAACTGAGGTTAATGTACAGAGATATATTTTTTTCTGAGACAAGTTCGTGCGTGGATGATGAATAAATGACAGGAAATTCAACTTCACCGTAATAACTCTTATATTGTAGTGATACAAATCAGTATACATGGTGGACACTTTTCTGTAAAAATTCGATTTTTCTAAGATTGGATACGAGTAGGCATTCATATTTTCCCGCAAAAACAATTACAGAGTCACCGGTCCTCGCAAAAAGTTCTCTGAGATATTCTTCCGCATGCTTTAACACAATTTTTCGGTACGTCTGCATTGACATTATCAATGATTTTTTACTTATATATATATATCTAACTACAAAACATTTTCATATTATTAATTTATGTTGTAAACAAAAATATTTTTATCAGTATTCATTGAAGAGATGTATTTATATCATACGATAAGGAATGTTATTTTGCATTCGTTTATGTGCACATATTTATCATGTTTATAGATCGGTTACAAACCCAAAACTAATTTACATAATGGAAATCTAGGCGATAGCAATACATCTGAATGACCCCAAGGTCATCGCGATGTAAAAAGCATTATCTCTGATGTCCTTTATAAAATTAACTAAAAGTAACCTGGGAAATCATATTGTAACCTCCAGGTATCAAACCCGGGACCTCTGTGGTTACAGTCAAAATAAAGGTATTTTGGCAATTTTTTTGCATTAAATGCAAGAAGATTGAAGCCCAAATGCAAATATGTATGACAAATTCAAAAATATAACTGCTAATGATTTCAAGTCTGATGTATTCAGAAAATCTGAAGCATCTAAAGCATGTTATTTGGCAAATTTATACCACATTTCTTATTTCAATTCAGGAGGCCAAAAAAGTGCCCTCTCTTTTTTGATGGGTTCCATATGACAAGTTTCATGATGTCACTTGCAGACTTCAAGTAAGACTTAAACTGACAAATAATTGTTCACATCTTTGTCATTTGGTCTTAATTGATAATTTGGGAGTTGCCTCTTGGCAATGATACCACATCTCCTTATTCTTATATTGTAACTAGATATTAGAGTAAACAAAACATGTACAAATCATAACTTATTCAGAAGGCTTGAGAAATCTCTACTAAAATGTACTACATGTATTGTGATTTAGCCGGCCAGGAGGGTCTTGAACCAACATTCTGCCTTTATATACATTTTATTTTAAGTCACTTTTGAAACATGTGCCACAGGAAGCGCTGACATATTTATGCCATAGTACTGGAGATATGTCTTGCTGAACATCTGAATATATACATGCTATGTGTTTCATAATCTTGAGTTTCAGGATCCTTTCATAGAATGGTTTTATTCATTCACATTTAAGGTTCTATAATTTTATCTGGAACTGTACAATTTTCAATGTCAAATAGTTGCAATTTTGCCAAAAGAAGTTTCTGAAATGAAAGACAAACTTGACCTGTAAGTAAGTCATTATTAAACACTGATGCTCCAAAGAACAGCTTCAGATTGCAAGCATAACATCAAAGATCTAGAAAAGTAAAAGTTTCTTAGTACAAATGCCATAATTTTGGTAAAAAGTAAAAAAAAAACAAAACCCAATTAACTTCTGTAACTCATCATTATAGACATATATACCTAAAATCAGATCAATATCTGCAGGCATAAAAAAAACCTGCACAACTGTTAGATTTCAAAGAGATGGAAGGATGGGACTGCAGACATTGGTAAATCTATAAGCACCGGCCATTTAGTAGTCTTTCCTTCCCTCTGTTGTCTAATTTTAACTCTTTAAAGTGTTCACAAAGATATAAGTACTGCCTGATCGTAAATGCTTATGTTGAAATTTAAATAGCGACACTTAATTATGTAAACTATGGTATGGAAAAGTTTTAAAAGAGAGGTGAAAGATACCAAAGGGACATTCATTCTCATAAGTCAAAAATAAACTGACAACGCCATGGCTAAAAAAGAAAAAGACCAACAGACAAACAATAGTACACAAAACACAACATAGAAAACTAAAGACTGAGCAACACGAACCCCACCAAAAACTGGGAGTGATCTCAGGTGCTCCAGAAGGGTAAACAGATCCTGCTCCACATGTGGCACCCATTGTGTTGCTCATGTTACTACAAACCCAGTAATAAGTCTAATTTGGTAGGTCACATTCGGGAAAAGGGGACAGGATTGTAGTTAAGACATTAGGAACATATCCGCTATCATCTGTGAAACGGATATTCCGTAACGGTCAACCAACTCGTGATGGTGTCCGTAAAATTTACGAAGGGATGATTTCAACTTCACCACTTGGAACTCTTGGTTTAATAGCTTCCTTGTGAGCAGCAACCCTCTATCAAGGAAATCATGATAGAAAATACAAGCCCTGGAGATATATACTCCGTATGCAGGCGCTGCTGGAATGTTGTTACATAAAAATGGAAAGTTCACAATTGGGAAGCTGAAATCATCTCTTTTGTCATAAAGCTTTGTTTTCAACAGACCCTCATTGTCAATTTCTAGATGTAAGTCAAGATATGAGGCAGACTTAACTGTATCTGTTGTATCCTTTATCTCAAGTTTGATGGGATAGATGCGTTCAACATAGTCACCAAAATTAGAATTATTTAGTGAGAGAACATCATCTTTGTAGCAGAAAGTAAAGTTGAAAGATACTGCTATCCCATGGGCTTGCCGATTGTTTATTGAAAAACACGTCCTCTAAACTATCAAATATGTTGTCAATCAAGAAATCTAGCATCTTGATAATGTAAGTTTCAGAGAATTTTTTGTTAGAATCAGAGTGATTTTTTACAAAGTAGGATATATCCCTCCCTAATACAAGATACTTGTATCTACGTTGGCCATTCTTTATTTATGAAACAAAGCAGGACCAACTCTTTCAATTTGTCTTTTAGTTTGGAATGGGGAATACTTGTGTAAAGTGTAGAAAAGTCAAATGTTTTTAATACTATTGCAAGATGAAAGAGTCTTAGATTGTATGTACTCTATATGATCTTTGGAATTTTTTAGTATCCAAATCTGATTCACACTACCTCTAGAATTGGTAGTTTCACAATAACTTTGAAGCCCAGCTTTGATTGCTGATAAAATTGATGTTAATAATTTAGAAAGAGGTTTCGTGGAGCACTTGGAAGACCCAGCAATATAACGTTGTTTGTAAGGACACTTATGTAGTTTAGGTATCCAATACAGTGATGGAAGATCCAGTTCTGAATCTTTGGTTGAAATTCCAAAGGAACATAGAACAGACCTATGATTATCCAGGATTTCCTCTTTAGTAAGTGTTGTAAGGGTATATGTTGAGTTTATATTCATCCTTAAAGTTGACAAAGAGCAAAATAACTTTATTGTTGAAGACTGTATTTGACCTTAATAATGTCTTATGTTTCCAAGACATAACTATCTCACTGATGTATACCTTGCATCTCCTTTGATATCCAGTATTGTGATAAGTGACCAAGTATCTATGTGTTGTTTTTCAATGTGGAATAAATGTATCCTCAGACTAAATAAAGATCCAGTGCTAATAAAACTATTTATTAAAACTAATATATAATATGAAAATAGAAATATTACATTGGAAAAACTGGGGACTAACAGCTGCATACACATAATAAACATTAAGAGTTATCCCCCTTTTAACATATAAATGAAAATTAATATACAGAAAACTTGGGGGATAAGATAAAATTTGATGATAAAAGTATACAATTTTATCGAAAAGTCCAGCATGATTAAAATTTTAAAAAGTTCATACCTCAGTAAGAAAATAAAATAAACATAAAATCATAAGTCAGCACGAGTACAGAGTAGAAGAGCTCAAACTTAAACATGAAAAATTTTAAAGAGCTCATAAGTACATGCAGCATGAAAAATAAAATTAACAACCCATACGTCAGCATGAGTAAAGAGTAAAAAGGTCATACGTCAGCATGAAAAGATTAAAGCTCATATGTCAGCATGAGTAGAGTATAAAAGAGCTCATACATAAGCATGAGAAGATGTAAAAGAAACTCATACGTCAGCATGAGTAGTATAAAAGAAACCCATACGTCAGCATGAGTAGAAAATAAGACCTCATACGTCAGCATGAGAAGGTATAAAGAAACTCATACGTCAGCATGAGAAGGAAATAAAAGAGCTCATACATAAGCATGAGAAGATATAAAAGAAACTC